TGCCCTGATGGTTCCCGTCACTCCCCGGCTGCCAGCTGGGATGCCCGGGCATCTCCCGCGTGGAGAGGAGCAGCTGGAGCTTCCCTGCCTCGTTATTTTGGGTTGCCGCCCTCCCCGGGGGCAGAGCAGGAGGGCAGCGATGCCCTCAGAGAGCAGACACCCTCACCAAGGAGCCCAGGAGCGTCCTCCGGGGGTGGCCCCACAGCGATGGGGACCGTGTTTGGTCACAGTTTTCCCCCCTTCTCCATCTCCTGGCACCTTTCTGGGCGCCCAGGGAAGTGGTGTGAACGTGTTCTCCATCATGGAGACAGCCTGACAAACAAACCCTCCTCCTCCTCCTACAGCAAAGGGACGTCAGGAGACGTTCCCACTGTGAATGGGACGGATGGAATCCATGGAGGTGAACTCGGAAAGCATCCCGGGCTGAATCACTGCAAGGCCAAGGAATGGCCAGGAGACTTTGCACCTGTCTGTAGACGTCCTACAGACCTGTGTCCACCCCAGGCTGCCACCAGAATGCTCCCAGTGCCAGCCCCAGGGTGGCTGAGTCCCACAGAGAGATGATGGGGAGACACCAGGGTGTCTCCTCCCAGGAAAGTTCAACATCAGGAGAGATCCAGTATCAGGAGCATTTCCACCCCCACAGCCCCAGGCAGAAATCACAGTCCTGAGCCAAAGCACAGCATCAGAACCCTGGAAAAGTTTGGGTGGGAAGGGACCTTAAAGCTCATCCAGTGCCACCCCCACCATGGGCAGGGACACCTCCCACTAGCCCAGGTTGCTCCAAGCCCCGTCCAACCTGGCCTTGGACACTTCCAGGATGGGGCAGCTTCTCCGGGCAAGCTGTGCCTGTGCCAGAGACGCTGTTCCCACGTCTCACCACCACCCTGATGGTGGTGAGGGGCCAAGGGAGGCTCCCCACCAGGGAGATGCTCTGCAGCAAAGGGTTCAAAGCCCCTCCCTGGGACACCTTGGTCCTTGCTCACGCTGGTTTTAGGGCCAAAACATGATGGGAGAGATCCCTGAATAGCTCAGCTGGAGCAACACTCAGAGCAGCAGCTCCAGCAGCTTTCCCTGCCCAGGATATAAAATCCATGCAGGATTCAAGCCCCGAAGGGAGTCACCCGTTCCCTCCATCGGTGCACGTGGCAAACACTCTGCACCAAATCTGGTCCAGTGGGAGGTGCTCCTGTCCATGCAGGGGTTGGAATGAGATGGTCTTCAAGGTGCCTTCCAACCCAAACCACTCTGGGCCGCCGTGGATCTCAGCCAGGCCCAAACCCGGGGGCTGTGGGTGGAAAGATGATCCAGTGGGACGGAACAAAACCTCGGCTGTACCAAGGGGATCATCC